GTGCTGACCAGCCCGCACTTCCTGCGCCGCCTGAAGAGCGAGGTCAAGGGAGATCGTATCATCATCGCACCACCCCGTGCCACGACGAGAGAAAGTGAGGAGGAGCATGAGGAGGATGAGGAGGCGGAGGAGGAGGAGGAGGAGGAAGAAAAGGAGGAGGAGGAGGAGGAGGAGAACGAGGCGGTGGCGCAGGCGCAGGCGTAGGAGACAGAGGAGGCGGAGGAGGCGGAGGAGGGGGAGGAGGCGGAAGAGGAGGAGGAGGAGGAGGAGGAGGAGGAGGAGGAGGAGGAGGAGGAGGAGGAGGAGGAGGAGGAGGAGGAGGAGGAGGAGAGGGGAGGGAGAGGGGGAGGGGGAGGGAAAGGGAGAGGGAGAGGGAGAGGGAGGAGGAGGGAGAGGGAGAGACAGAGAGGGAGAGGGAGAAGGAGAGGGAGAGGGAGAGGGAAAGGGACAGGGAGGAGGAGGAAAAAGAGGTGGAGGAACAATAATAATAATCATGCTACTGATATCAAACATAATCACCATATCCATAATAACAAGACTAATCATATTACTATTACTACTGTCATTAATCATCATGTTACGGTTACTACTACCAACAAGAGTAAGACTAATACTAATGGAACTAATACCATTGAGTAATAATACGAATAAGACTAGTACGAGTAAACATAAGAGTAGTAGTACTACTACTACTGATTCGAAGAATGCGAAGCCTACAACTAATCATAATACGGATACTAGTGGTAATGGTACTACGGCTAGTACTAGCATTATTAATATTAATACTAGTAGTACTAATACTATTAATGCGAATAGTCGTAGTAGTCGTAGTCGTCGTCGTCGTCGTAGTAGTAGTAGTAGTAGTAGTAGTAGCAGTAGTAGTAGTAGTAGTAGTAGTAGTAGTAGTAGTAGTAGTAGTAGTAGTAGTAGTAGTAGTAGTAGTAGTAGTCGTAGTTTCGTAGTCGTAGTAGTAGTAGTAGTAGTAGTAGTAGTAGTAGTAGTAGTAGTAGTAGTAGTAGTAGTAATAATAGTAGTAGTAGTAGTAGTAGTAGTAGTAGTAGTAGTAGTAGTCGTAGTGTAGTAGTAGTAGTAGTAGTAGTAGCAGTAGTAGTAGTAGTAGTAGTAGTAGTAGTAGTAGTAGTAGTAGTAGTAGTAGTACTAGTAGTAGTAGTGGTGGTGGTGGTGGTGGTGATGATGGTGCGTGGCGGTGGTGGTGGTAGTAGTAGTAGTAGCGGTAGTCGTAGTCTAGTCGTAATCGTAGTAGTAGTAGTAGTAGGTAGTAGTAGTAGTCGTCGTCGTAATTCGAGTCTGTAGTAGTAGTAGAGTAGGAGTCGCAATCGTAGTCGTAGTAGTCGTAGTAGTCGTAGTAGTCGTAGTAGTAGTGGTCGTAATAGTAGTAGTAGTAGTAGTAGTAGTAGTAGTAGTAGTAGTAGTAGTAGTAGTAAAAGTAAAAGTAGTAGTAGTAAAAGTAGTAGTAGTAGTAGTAATAATAATAATAGTCGTAGTGGTAATAATAGTAGTCGTAGTAGTAGTAGTCGTAATAATAATAGTAATAGTAGTAGTAGTAGTAGTAGTAGTAGTAGTAGTAGTAGTAGTAGTAGTAGTAATAGTAGTAGTTGTTGTAGTAGAAGTCTTAGTAGTCGTAGTAGTCGTAATAACAGGGGTAGTAGTACTAGTTAGCAGTAGTAGTAGTAGTAGTAGTAGTAGTAGTAGTAGTAGTAGTAGTAGTAGTAGTAGTAGTAGTAGTAGTAGTAGTAGTAGTAGTATGCATAAGACTTGCAATGCGGCTCATACTAATCATAGTAGTAATTGTTTTTTAAATCATAAGACTACTAATATTAACACTATTTATAGTCGGAAGACACATGATAAGACGAGGAGTACACATTCTGATAATAGTAAGAAGACGAAGTATAGTAATAATGAAAGGAGGATGAGGAGGAGGAAGAGATGGAGGGGGAGGACGAGGAGGAGGAGGAGGAAGAGGGGAATCATAGCAATTATAATTATCTGAATGCTACTAAGAATAAGACTACTTGTAGTAGTAATACACAAGGTAAGAAGAAACATACTCATACTTATAACAGTAAGAAGAAATATAGTAATAATAAGTGGAGGAGGAAGGAGGAGGAGGAGGAGGAGCAGGAGCAGGAGCAGGAGCAGGAGGAGGAGGAGGAGGAGCAGGAGGAGGAGGAGGAGGAGGAGGAGGAGGACGAGGGCCCCGACGAGCGGGGCGAAGAGTTCGGTGAGCAGTCCGCGACCGAGGCAGCGGAGGAGGCGCAGACCGGGGACCAGGCGAGGCAGAGGTAATCACCCCCTTGGGGCCGTTGGCCCGCAGGCAAGGGTCCTGCCACGGGAGCTGAGGGGGCGCATTGGCGCGGTGGGTCCAGCGGGGGCGGCGGCCCTAGTGGCTTTGCGGCAGAGGCAAAGGACGGGGGTGGCCGCCCTTTCGGCCGCCCGCGACCTGTCGGAGGTCCCGGTCGACCCAGAGGCGGTCGGCAACTACCTGAGGACAGCCGGCAGCCGGCGGCGGAGGTTCGGGCTGGCCGAGCACATCCAGCGCGCAGCCAAGGATTTGCTTGCGGCGGGCTGAGGCCATTGGGCAGACCAAGTATGCGGAGGAGTTGAAGGATGTGAAAGCGGCGCTGGCCTCGGTGGCCAAGGGCGCCGAGGGCAGCTACAACGCGGCCTGGCAGCTGTGGAACTTTTGCCGCCGCGTCTGCGGGGGGGGGGCCCTTCCTGGACGGGCAGACGAAGGAGGAGAAGCGTGAGGGCGAGGAGGAGCTGCGAATTCTTGTTCGCGGTGCACCCCTGGAATAATCTCCACCGGGCGCGCGGCGCGATTCGCGCGAAGTTGCTGGGGGAGAGGGCTCAGCGCGCGTGGCTCGGGGGGCAGGATCTGCTATTGGGTGGGCCCGGGCTACGGATGGCGCTGAATAGGCTTCAGGGCCCAGGAGTTAGGAAGCGGCCTGTCCCGATCCGCATGCTCGAGAGCATCGGGGGCAGGTTGAGGCCAGAAAGGGAGCCAGTCGACGCAGTGCCCTATTGCCAGATCATCACGGTATTCTTCTTCTTCTTCTTCTTCTTCTTGATGAGGGTCGGCGAGTACGCGTGCGCGGGGTACTGGAACGGTGGGAGGGTCCAGGCGGGGTTAGATGTAGCCGCCAAAGCGCGTGGTGGTGCAGTGGCACACTTGGCTCTGGCGGACGAGGTGGTCTTGCGGTCCGAGGCGCGCAAGGCGGGCCAGGTAAGCGCCGGCATGGCCAGGAACCCCTGCCGGCCGGGAGGAGAGGTCGCCTCGGCGTGGGCGGCCGAAAAGTATTCAGCGAGCGAAGAACGGTATAAAATAAACTTTTTCGCTGTCGGGGGCGCCCGTCCCTGGGCGGCTGGAAAGTTTATACCCCTACGGTGCCACCGTAAGGGTATAAACTTCCCAGCCGCCCAGGGACAGGCGCCCCCGACAGCGAAAAAGTTTGTTTTATACCGTTCTTCGCCCGTGAAAGTATCAGAGGCATTTCCCGACGAGGACCGGGGGGGGGGGGGCGGGGGAACGGAGGCGCCTCTCCCGCCGGCGAGGCGGGCGGAGGGCCGCCCGGCCGCCAGAAGGAGTCGGGAGGAGCTGCAGAGGGCGGCGGTGGCAGAAGGGCGCCCGGCGTCGCAGTTCGGGTCTCGCTCGCGGCCGGCGGCGGGCGCGGGGCGCCCCGGAGGAGGAGGAGGAGGAGGAGGAGGAGGAGGAGGAGGAGGAGGAGGAGGAGGAGGAGGAGGAGCCGCGGCCCTGTGCCGCCACTACGGGTACACCCAGGTGGTGAACAGGCGGGGCAGGTTGAGCAGCGGCGCATTTCGCCGGTACTCGTTGGGGGCCAGCGAGGCGGCGCGAGGAGCGTCTACGGCGGTGGCCTCCTCGGCGCCTGCCCTTCGCGCGGGGCGCGACGCGGCGAAGGAGCGGGCCCGCGAGAGAGGCCAGCCCAGGCTGGACCTGGCAGGAGGCTCAGAGCTCCGAGGGGGCAGGGCCCGAACGCGGGGCCTGGAGCAGTCGAGGGAGGGCGACTGAGGAGGGCCGTGGCGCCCAGGCCGGCGAGGGCCGCGAGAGAAGGCAGGAGGAGGAGGAGGAGGAGGAGGAGGAGGAGGAGGAGGAGGAGGAGGAGGCCGTTTTGGCGGAAGGCCACGGTGCGGGCCTGAGAGGAGGTGGCGGGCCTCTCCGCTCTGGGCCGAGGCCGCGCAGCGCGCCGCGCCGACCAGGCCCGCCTCTCGGGGGCCGGGCGGGCGGGGGCCCGCGCGAGGAGGCGGGCCGCGGGAGGAGAGGGGGCGGGGCACCCGCCGCTGCGGGGTGACTTCCCCTGGGGGCGAGCGAGGAGGGTGAGGTGGGCCGCGAGCCGCCGCGTCGACGCGGGGGCCGCCCTGTTGGGGGGCGGGCTCGGCGTTCTGCGGCCAGCACGTGCCAAGAAGAGTGTCGCCGCCGTGCCGCCGCCCCTGTCGGGGCTGTCCGCTGGCCCCAGCTCTCGACAACGACGAGGAGGAGGGGGAGGAGGAGGAGGAGGAGGAGGAGGAGGAGGAGGAGGAGGAGGAGGAGGAGGAGGATCGCACGCCATTGAAGGGAAAGATATGGGGGGGGGGTCAGTTGGAAACTCGCCCAGGGGGGGCCCATCAGAGGAGGCCTTTTCGTCACCCTGGCAGGCCACCGCGCCTGCCAGGGGCCAGCGACAGGGCCCCCCCTTTCTCTGGGCAAATCAACCATTGGACTCAGCACCGCGCTTGTCTGCACAGTCGCGGTCCGACCGCTCTCCAAGAGCCATGGCTTCGAGCTCATTGAGCCCAAAGGCCTGCGGCTTTCGAAGGGGCCTGAAGCAATCCTCTCAGCTGGGCCCCTGGGGCCTTCTCGAACCCACTAACAAGCTCCCGTGCCTCGCCCCCAGGAGTCCTCCATGTGCCCAGCTTCAAAGGTCTGTTGGGGTGCTTCCCTTAGCTCACCGCCCTGGTGTCCTTCTTGCCAGGGTCCACGAGGGCATGTTGGGAACCTTTGCAAGCCTTGCGGAGTACCCGGAGCCCCTGACCCCCTTGAACGACCGAAGCATAACCGCCACCGGTGGACCAAGAAAGGATCGGTGGGTGGGCACCTTTCCCGACTTCAGATTCAAGGAGGAGGAGGATGAGGTGGTGGAGGAGGAGGAGAAGGAAAGAGGGTGGGTGTGTTGGGGAGGAGGAGGAGGAGGAGGAGGAGGAGGAGGAGGAGG